GATGAAAAAATACATATGAGATAAATTAAGCTGTCAATATTTCAGATTAAACTCATACTCATAATTTTGCTCATTTATCCAAGTACTAACTGTCAGTACTGAATATCATGTTTTTCTTACTTATTTATTACTTTTATGTTACTAGTATTTTACTTTAATTAATAATATTGATATGGACATCAAACTTTTGAATTATATTAAGAATTTTTATAGTCTTTAAAGAATTTTTTATAGTCTTGAAATACTCACACAAATATCAATATTTTACGTATCAATATCACAATGATCACATTATTTTTCAATATGCCTTCGAGATTTCTAATTCAACTTTTAAAATTTACTTATATTTTTTTGGTTTTTTATTTTTCGTACTTTATGATTTTTAAATTTAGCATTATGATCTTTATCAATGGTGCAATTAAACAAAAAAAAAAACTCTTTTTTTTTTCTGTAAAAAAAAACTTATACTGCAACTAATAGAACGCAACAGTTCAGAAAAGAATAGAAAAACAAAAAATAGAAGAAATAAAACAAACTCGCTGACAAATATCGAATCGAACATGACAATAAATTTGAAATCTGTCAAAAGAAATTCAAAATAAATTCTAAAAGAATTGAATATTTTTTATAGTTCACCATCATGTAGGATTAAAGATTTTTTTTTTTCTTTAACACACCCAGGAGTCTATGAACATAACAAAAAAACAATTATCATATCGATCGAAGATAAATTGATTGTTATATTCAAAAAGAAAAAAAAAGGAAAAAAATGACATTTAATTTTATTGTCTTAACTTTATGGATTCTTGATAGTGGTGATTAATTGCATTCGAATTTATTAATAAAATTCTTTTTGCTTTTCAGTGTTGTGGTCCAATAATGACCTTAAAAGAGATATAATCGTTTTCGTATGTTCTAATATTAAAAAAATACATATAAATTTTAATAGGTCCACCAGGGTCCATTTGAAAAAAAATTGAATTGAAATTAATTCTACAATATTTTTAAAAATACTTGCAAATGTGTACATTGTATGTGCGCCCACCTTATATGAATTTAATGTTGAGACTTAAATCTAGTTCCATTCGATTATTATTTTCATATAAATTGAGTATAAGTTTAAAGATTGTTGAAATTTATTGAATAAATTTTTAAAAATGATTTCACAAAATTATTCATTATCATATTATATTGGGTTATTAAGTACACCTGTAGAATTATTAAATTTGTATATAGATTTATATAGATGAAATTAAAAGGAATACCTTAAAAATATCTTAAAAATAAAAGTAATGCAATTGAAAAGACAAAAAAGAGAAAAAAGCAAAATTATTTGCACTCTTTAGAAATGACAAACCTTAAAATATCTTTTTAATAAACTTTTAATATCCTCTAGAAAAAAAACAAAAAATGTCTAGGCATTGCAATTCCCGTGAATTTATGCCGCACAAATTCAATTTTTTTTTTGTTCTTGTCCGTTTTTTCTTAACAAAATTTTTATCATTTTACATAGTTTTGTAGATCGTGACAGAAATTATTAAAACTGTTTAAAATTAATTTGTCCAATTGCAATTATTCACATTATTGTTTTTGTTAGTTTATATTAAATTTTGTTTTTTCTTTTGTTCACATTGCGTATTGTACATATGCGTACATATTCGTGGAACTTAATAAATTGGTTCTTTCATTTATAACATATAAACGGCATTTGCATTATGTATATGTTTACTCATAAAAATGTGCAAGTTCTTTCAATATTTGATTAGGATTAGATACGGGTCATTGCGACCCAAGAAGTTGGTCTATCACCTTTAGAGTGTTTCAACGAAAGCTACCCCTCTGACATATCTGAGTATTTTGTGCGAATCGATTTCTTTTTTCTATTCCTCACAGCTCTTTTACTGCGTGGATGGCTCTACCCAGAAATTCCCTTCTGCTGTGAATCAACGGTTTACACTTACCGAGAAGGTACATGAAAATATCCTCCATTTTTACACTGAACCTGCAAGTGCCTTCGCCTCCTTGGCGCAAGCTCATGCATAACCTATTTGCAAGTAATGAGTGGTGATTAAATTATTTTATTTATTTATTTTTCCACATTTATTTATTTTTGTTTCTCATTTTTACCAATTTAAACATTCAGCAAGTCCTCTACATTTAGGTACATTCATGCTACAAAAAAATTCCATGCAATAAATTCCAAATTTCGTGAATCAGCTTATTTTCTATTACATTAAGTATAATATTACCTATGGTTTGCCTGGTCAACTTTAAAAATTATTATCTGATTTTTATTTTGACTAGGCGTAAATATCTGTTTTCAATTTTTGTTTTTCAGTGCTGTCCTTCAAAATAAACCTCCTTTTTTTTTTTTGCGTACCCTACATTAAAAAGCCTCACCTAAAATCTTTAATTTTTAGTAATAAAGTGAACGCATTATTTCAAATCTGAACGTTGATTGATCGAATTTAAGGGTTTTTTTTCAATGAGATTTTCATTTTACAATGAGATAAGCGGCATATTTTCTGTTATATTCAAGATATAAAAAATGTAGACAATTAAAATTAAGTCAAGTATTTTAATCACATTTTTAATGAAATTAAAGAAATACCAATTCTATATTGCTTTTTAAAAATAATTAATATACTTACACTCGAAATAGAGACAAAATGTTAAAAATCTCTATTTGCTTTATGTTTACAGAATTAATAATTATTATACAGAACATGATTGATTTATTTTAACATTATACATTATTTATAAAATATGAATTGGTTTCACAATGAACCTTATTAAGAGAATTGATTAATTTGATTCTAGTAATCTTATTAATTGTTATTAAGCATAATCCAGTATTTCTTGCTAATCAGGGCCCTAATTTTTTCCAATTATTTGATATTTTTACCCTTTTATATCTAAAAATTTATTTTAACATAATATATCAATATACTTACACAATTTACTACTCAAAATAGCTGATCTATCACAAATTATTAGCATTAATTTCTTTTCTTAATTACCGATATTCTTATTTATATGAATTAGAATTTTCTATACATTGTATAGCCACTGTCGATCAATATATTTTCAAATATTTATATCTAATTAAGACAATTTGGAATTTTTAATTTTAAAATTCAAATACCTGCATATTAAAATTATAATATCATTTTCACCTTAATATACATATAGAATAAGATAAAATTTAAATCGCTTTTATGAAATTGATATGCCTAATTAAAAATAAAAATTTCGATAACCTTCAATAATAATTTTGTACATTTAAATAATTATACTATAACCAGTGGGGTAATAACCCAAAAGCTATCAAAATAGTAGGGTATATCAACCAAAAAAAGTGTACATATGCAATAAATTACTATTTTATAACATATCTGTATTTACTGTTTTAGAATGTAATTGCTACTGTTGCTACTTACAATATTTTAGAAAATAAAGTATGTATTTTATTTTCGATTCATATTCTAAAGATTCAAAATCAGTAGAAGAGTATACAAGTTACTCTTTAGTTTTGGTTTTTTTTTTCAAAATAATTTCAAATTTTTTAAAATTTGTGAAGGTTTTTCCCATAACTCATTGATATCTATACAATGTCAAAAACCATTTGCTATTAATTAAATTAATTAGATACTCACATACCGGTCTGTATATATGGAGGGGCCAGGCCCGGTTCTTATTTGTTTAGTTTCCTAAAGGTGCACTCCTTTCCCTTTCAAAGTAATGAACAATATCAGTAATCATATTGCAAATATCGCAAAAACAACTGCGCCCCTGTTTTACAATGCTCATTACATATGCATAATTTGTAAATATGTTAAATGCGGGGCTGGGTGCGGCCGGAAATTTACATGAAATTGTTAACATATGAAGTGTCAATGATTGGATATTGCCAATAATAGATTGACATTGCCAATAATTTGAAAATTTAAAAATTTCATACATAATATTTCAAACATAGTAAATTGCTTGTGTTTAATAAAATTTAGAATAAAATTAATTTTAAATTATGGAAATTTCATAATAATGAGACTAGCTTTATTTAACTCTTATAATGAACGGAAATTAAGTATAAAAATCCGTAAATATTGTAATGTGAAACCTAACCTTAAAATTTTTTTTTTCATTTTCATCAATTACTAAAATGGCAAGTAATTTAACAAGGTTTCCTTTTTTTCTTTTTTGGTTTCTTTTTTTTTTTTTCTCGAATAATGATGAAGCGGAAAAGTTTAATTAAGTTGAATAAATGAATGAAAAAAAAAAAAAGAAAAATCTTTGTAATGGTACAAAATACCCAGCAATAAATTGATAATATCACCTTATAAGAACCATAAATCAATTTGATTTTAACCCAATTAATTAAATTTTTAGATGTCAATAAATCAAGATTTTTCATTTAATTTAAAACCATTTATTAAATTTTCATTAAAAAAAATTTATTTTTTTTCTTTTCTTCATGTTCTTTAATTTATTTTTAAGTCAAAACCTCTAGTTCATATAGACTCTATAGAGTCTCATAGTATGCAACAACTCTAAATATTATTTTTAAAATTATTATTTTTTGGCATGTTTAGCACAAAAGGAAACTTGAACAAATTTTTCTCTGTGTCTTTTTTTTTTCTAAAAATTTTTTATCTCGATTTCTTTCCGTAGGCAGTCATTTAGTAATTAAGAGAAAAAAAAAACGCACTTTTATAAAAAGAAAATACAAAATTTTTAATCGCGCACGCTTCTATTTTAAATTTATGTATGTAAGTATGTCATTTTATACTTACATATTTTTTAATTAAAAGAAAAAAAATTATAAATTCAAATTCTAAGAATATTATTATTATAAACTAAGAAAAGCACTTAAAACGAATTCTTAATATAGAAGTCACCACCTTAATATTAATTACAGCATTTTTTTTTTTTTATTAAACAATCAATTCTATCAGGTAAATATTCACATTTAATTGCTACCAATTTACCACTGAATATGCATACAATTTAGTTTTTTTTTTTTTATTTTTTAATTTTATAATAATAAGTATATATAAAATAATTATTATGCTAATAATTTTATTTTGGTCCTTGACTTGGATTTTTAAATTTAAATTGGTGTAATTCATCAACCAAATTCTAAAATTAAAAAAAAAAGAATAGAAAAAAAAATAATGTTTAATTATTAATATAATAGAAAATTTTTATAGCTGTTGTACATTGTATGTACATAAATTAAAATAAAAATATAAAAAATTTATATAACAGTTTTTAAATATTATATAACAGTTTATATATAATAAAATTTATATAACAGTTTTTTAAATATATTAATAAAAAGCATATTAAATTTATATATGTGTACAGGGTGCGTCGCATAATGTGACAAATAATTTCAGGGATGATTCTTTAATTCTTTAAGACTGTAGCTCGAAAACGAGTATATCTACAACTCCCCCACATATACAATTTTTCGCTGGAAATTGATCAAATAATATTCCCCGAAATTATTTGCTTGTAATACGCATTGGGTATATTATTCAGAAAGGTATCGATCCGCTTATGATCTCTTCTTATTCACCATATACAAGTGATTCCGCTTAAATCTATATGGTGAATTATTGTTTATTATGCTTTTATTCATCGTAAGTGCATCGATTCTATAGACCCCTTAAAAAGTGAGAATTTATTTATTGAAAAGATAGGTCTCGGGGAGGTACATTGGGCACTATGTCTGTACTTAGTTGAGAGATACAATAGTTCTAATTGATAGTTGTTTGAGGTGCAATGTCATACTTTTCTTGCAATCTACAACCTACAATTTACTAGGGCATAACAAAAATATATTGAGTTTACTAAATGTTTGTTAATTGCCTAATATAATTTTCAGCAGAATTTTGCTTAATCACTATTTGGGACCTAAGTCTTACTATGTATTATTATATTAATAAACATCATTGAACACTTAAAGTAGTTGTCAATTATACAGGAACTGTATTTATTTCTTTGGTACAATACAATAGAAATATATAAGGCAGACACACCTGGCAAATGTAGCAATTGTAGCACTAAAATATTTCTTATTTCATATAAGATTATTACTTAAGCATTTACACCCTTTTTCTTTGCAAAAGGTCTCAGTATATTATGTAAAATATGTAATCTACAAATAAAATCAATAAAATTAATTGAATTTATACTTACTAGCATAGTTTCGGTTTCAGATGATGTTAAAACTTTTATTTCACCTCCACCAGTACCACTGCCACCACCGCCAACGGTAGATCTTGCACCACGTAAAAATGATGGTTTTGCTTTTATTGTTGGTTTCTCAGATGTTGTTGATTCATTATTACTATCATTTCTATATGAGTCATTTTTATAATTAACAGGTGGCCTAACATTCATATTTATATGAGATTCACCAATTGTCTCATATATATTTTCATTATAATCTTCTGATAATGATTTATATTTTGCATTTTGATTTAAATCATCAGCTCTAATAGTAGTTGCTATAGAAAAACGATTACTATCACCAGTTGATGATGATGATGCTGTTGATGAACGTGATGAAGCTAATGATGTTGCTGAAAAACGATTTCCTGATGATGATAATCTTAATTGATGTTGTGGTTGTTGTAGTTGTTCATTGATTAAAGTTGATGATCTTGAATTATTCTTTTTCAATGGTATTGGTGAATCAGTTGAATCTTTAAATTTATTTAATTCATTACGTAAATATTCATTTTCATTTTCCAGTATTTCAACCTACAATTTGTAAATGTGTAAGAGAAGATGAAGTCAAAAAATAAAATGAAAATAATGAATGAAAAATTATGTTGTATTTTTTTAGTAGACATTTTATCAGCTGAGTGGTGACGTTTGGTCGCCTATAATGTGCGATGATTTATTTTTATTGATGATTCTCTTCATAAATATACGATGGTATTTATATTAAGATTCAACACTATATATGATTGTTATAGAGTTATTGAATATTATACGCGAGTACTGTTCCACCAATAATTGAACTGAATGCTTAATAGCTTTTGAAAGTTAATGCAAAGGGATGTTGTGGAATAATAATAATTTAAAATACAACATCTTCATTAACACCAATTTTGACTTATTAATGACTATATGGTGAAGATGAAATATTTTATTAATAACCCATTATAGTGCATGACAGAAGTGTCGTTTAAAAAGAAGAGATGATAATTGAGTACTATAAATTTTATTGATAAAATCATACTGAATAAAGTTATTGAAAATGTTAAAATATTTAATATCTCTTAAAGCACAAATGAGTTCACAAGTTTTATATCGAGTGCGACGTTGATTTTTAAAGCAAAAACCGGCTAGCAATGATTTGGTATTGTTGTCCAAGCGTGTTTGCTAGCTGGTTGCTAATTCAGCCTAATGTTAAGTTCAACTGACTATATTAGTGTTTATTTACTACATTAGAGTTCAATATTTGATAAATTTTGCAATTTAATAATGCAATTCCTTGTCCATTAAATGTAATTTGGAACATAGCATTTTTGCTAATAATGAAAATAAATATTCATCGAGAATCAGAGGTTGTACGGCAACTTCAAATGAAAGAAATTCTTAATTAAAAGTGGTGGTCATGCACTGGCGCTAAAGGTCGAATATATTTTACTTGAGAAAGAAAATGTTTATGCATATTTTTTATGCATAAACATAAATTTTGCGATGCTACGATACTCGTATAATTGTTTGCGATTTTTCGAAAATAATATTTTATTTTTAATAATATAGCAACTTACACTTTCAAGGTCAAATTCGAGCTCTTCAATTTTATCAAATGCTTCTTCAAGCTGTTTATTTAATTCTAATGTTATTTCATTACATTGTGATGGGGCTCTTTGTAAAATACTTTCTGGTCTTTGGAATTTTACTCCTAAAAATCAAAAGGAAAATTTTAATACAATGATAATTTTAAAACCAACCACTAAATTTCACATTATTTTTTAAAATTTAAATTCCTTGTATGTATGTAATTTTAATAAAATGAAAATAATTTACTAGCATGTTCTGGTCTCCCAATTGAACTCATTCGATTTCCTTCACGAAAACTTTCATTAATCGCCTTAAATGTTCGATCTTTTGCCGCATATTTATCATATAATTTATTATATTTCTGTTTTAAACTTTGTAAAGAATTATTTAATTCATCACGTTCATTTTCAGCTTTAAATAACATCATTCTTAATTCAGCATTTATACTTGATGCTGTTTTAGCTTCTTTAGTTCTTAAATTCAATTCATGTGATAATTGTGAATGTTCATTATTTAATCGTACATTTTGTGCGTTTACTATAAAAAAATGAATTTAAAATATATGAATGAATAACATTATTTGTTTAACAAAAAACATAATTGTAGGAATTTAAAAATAAATAAAATCATAAATAAAAGAAATTTTTAGACGTCACAAAAATTTATTTATAATTAGTCACAGAGATTATAATATTGTTACAGGAATGATGAACGTACTATGAAAATAAACGACCTTCACTGTAAATTTTTATCAATACGAGCCTGTAAAACAAATTATTAATCTTATCATAAAAAATTGTTATATACAATCTATAGGGGTGCTTCTTTCAGAAATTGTTATAGAAATTTAATAAATAAATTGTTTTCCTGTAAAAGCTATTGAAAATTAATTGAGAGAATTTGAGTTAAATAAATTTAAAGAAGAGAAATGAGAAAATAAAAGGCGAAAACAGCGAGATTTTAAATATGCATAAAGTAATAACAGTAACCGTTTAGTGGTCTGTTGTAGAACAGATGATTGATAACGTCGAAAAAATCAGCCTTAAGACGGAGAAATTCACAAAAATTTCTTTTTAAGCTGAAGTCTACTAATTTTAAAACGGGCCAGGCTCTCTGCCGCAACTAAGCATCTCCAACTGATATTTGATTCTTATAAATCATCTTAAATATCAAATCTTTTGAAACTTTATATAAATTTTTTATTTTAATCAAAACTTTAAAATCCTTGCAGTTTCATAAATTCTCAAAATTGTAATATTGACTTCAAAAACTTTATACTTTTTTTCAATTATTTTAAAAAACATCAAATTTTTGACATTAGGCTTGTATTTCTTATACATATAGCTCTTGTAGATAAAACTGAAAAAAAAATTAGTCCATAATAAAGTGCTGACAAAGGTAAAATAAATTTTCCTTATATATTTGTGAATACAATATATATATTATGTACATGTATGTATGTAAAAACTTGTACATTGTCTCCTAAAGTATCTAGAATTGCATATTTTTATAACAAAAAATATGCATACCAAACAGAATATTTCAGTATATGAGTTGTTAAGTGATAATGTAAGATTATAAATTTCTATATATATATACATACATACATACATAAATAAATACCAAGCGTACACTTACAGGTATCAAGTTCAATTTCAAGTTCTCTTGTTTTTGTTCTTAAACGGTATAGTTCCGCTTCAATACTTTCTGGTACTGGTATATGGTAATCCATTTATAAAAATATAAAAATATTCTATTAATTTTTTAAAAATTGTAGTGGCCTGTATGCAAGTCAGTATTTCTCAAAAACTATAACTAAACTTATAACACTTTTTTGGAAAAAATTCAATTAATTTATAAATTATAAATTCGTATAACTTTAAATTTGTATTATTGTTGCGGGTCCATTAATATGTTCTATATGGACAATAACGAACGAAATTTGATATGAAACTAAATTTTATTTTAGTTGATTTTAGAGAATTTACATTGAGTATAAAAATGCGTTAGACCATCTATATTTTTTTATGTACTTCTTAAGAAATATGGCTATTTATAAAGATATGTGTGAGTATATGCTTAATATAATGCATTATCTAATCTTAACTTATATATTATATTTATGCGATAAGGTGTTAATATATATTGTTCAAAAAGATAATTTTTCCAGCTTAAACTTAAAATTTTGTTGTTTTAATTGAATTTATTATGGTGTAGTGTGCACCTCTGCTGTTAGTATTGTGGACATAATATAAAATTATTATTTTTTTTTTTGAAATATTAGTCAGAACAGAATATTAAATAAATAAACAACGATTTATGCTTTATTTAGGAAAATGCTATAATTTAATAGGGCTACAACAATGTCAAGGATTTGTTTAAACTATGATATTGAAAAGTAAAAACGATTACTCAGAATATATTTTAACATTAAAAAGTTGTATTGATCGTAAGAAACATCGATTATTTATGAAGGAAATCGCTAAAATATGCGAATACTGGAGATCAACTCCGTATTTATTACTCAGCAGGTATATGATCATTACTAGCAGTTATTTTTTAATGCCGCTTACTAATAATATTAACAAAATTTTAAAATTTTCTTTTAATTTAATTAGAATATAAAAGATGGAAAATTATTCATTTCACCTGATTATTTTCAATAACTTCGAAATTTGTTTCATATTTTTTAAATTTTCAAATTACAATTAATGCTACTTCATAAAATTTCAAGTAACTCTATTAGCTAAAGAAAATAAAAGAGAATTTTTTTAATTCCGGATATACTCACTGCCAGAGTAAGTCTATTAAATGCTAGATAGCGCTGTAAGATTATTTAATAGACTCTTTCAGGTATCGAATCCTTAAATGATTGATGATATTTTTATCCTAAAAATTACAGCAAAAACTTTATTATAGACAAGAATCATTTATATGAATAGGTTTGTGTTTACAGTTATAATATCGAATTTTTTACGATAAATACTTTGTTTTTAGTAGTTAATGGTTTGACACTCAAATAAGTCCCAGTTACTTGATATGTGTTCCAATTTTATTAATTTTCTTAGTTTTATTATTCACAATAGGTGGCGCAAAATCAATATCACTAAATTTTCATCCATAAAGTAAATCTATTACATACTAGATGACAGAGGTAATCCAGTCAAAATTTCCTTTTTATAATAGATGGCGCCAAATAATCTTCAAAAACAGTTTTGTGAACGATTTTATTTATCGTAAAAATTATTACAGACACGAATCAGAAATATTGGATTTGCCATATAATTTGCTTTTATAGTTTTCAAGCTTGCCAACGTTTTAAACAAAGTAGTGACACTGCCAATAATTTCATATAAAATTTTGGAGTGTTAAATCACGAATTTATTTAAAATTTAAAACTAAGAAAAAGATACATACATAGTTGAAATATGTGAGTAAATTTTAATATTATTTTAATATTATTTTAATAACTGTATGCATTATTTTTCGGAATTCAAAAAAATTTTCAACTTCTATCAATCTATTTGTTATACGTTTTCAATTACATCCAAGTACATATTTATCAGTGGTTTTATTTCCTCTTACTTCACCTTTGGAACCATCCACATCCAATATTTAAGTTTATAGGATATTTTCTACCTCTCCAAAACAAAATTATCGTTAAATTTACACTAATTAAGCCCAACTATACCTTCTTTTGCTAAAAATAACACATGCAATGTTCACTTTTTTATTGCTATAGTCTCTTTCTATTGCTCTCTCTTGGCCTCGCACTCGTAAAACGAGAATATAAAGCATTTTAAAATTCGAAGACTTTTTGGGCACGGTTAAAAGAGTTTTCCAATTAAAATTTCCTTTAATTTTATTTTTAAATCATTTTTTTTTATTTCAAATAACTTATAATTTAAATTTTCTTTTTTTTTTTTATAATATTATTTTTCATACAGAATATACAGTTTTCTTTTGTATACCTAATTTTTTTTTTTTAATTTTTAATATTTTTCTTTTTTTTTTTTATTCTATAATTATTTATTACATTTATATCGTACATATTTATTATGAGATATTATAATGAATATATTTATATAAATGTATAACAGTTATATATATATATACATATATTGTTATACCGTTTTAGTATTACAGATTTATAAGTTATTGTTATATTCTCTAACATTATCCAAATATTTTAATATAATTTATTTTATTTTTAATATCAGTTTTTTCTTTTATTAATATTTTTTTTTGTTTTAATTTCAATCAACTTCTCTATAACACGGTTTTGTTTTTCTTTTTCATTTTAATTACTTTAATTTATTAGTATTTAATTTTTTATTTTTTAGTTCTATTCAACCTTTATTTAATTATATTTTTTTGTATTTAATTTTAAATTTTACTTTTTTTTTTCTGTGTTCTTGGTATTTTTATTATTTATAATAGTTTTTGTTTTTGGTTTGCTAAAATGGTTTGTTTTTCTATTTATGAATGAAAACAGAAAAAAAACGGTAAAAAAGGGAAAAGAAAGCGATCTATTAATTATTACCAAAGCCTGCCGAGCGAGTCTTTTAAAATTTGGATTTTGTTTCTTGGATAATGAGTGAAATTTTTGACATTTTTAGTTATAAATAATTGTTATATATTATGAGTGATATGTATATTAAATTTAAAAATGGCGTTTTATTAATGATAATTGAATGCATATATGGAGGTTTGATGAATGTAAAAAATGTGATTTCGTAAATAAAAATTTTCCATTTGAAATATTTAAAATATTTTGGGCTTTTTTTTTTTAAATGAAAATTCAATTTTGTATTTTTTTGTGGATTTCGAATTAATTTATTTAATTTTATTTAATTTCTATTTAATTTTTATTATTTATGATATATTGATTATAATGTGAAGTTAAGAATTATGGTTAAGAAGAATATGAAGAAATTTGATTGTCTCATTTTAATGAGTTTATGAAAATTAAAATTAAAAAAAAGGAAAAATGAATTTTTAGCCATTTTTAAAAATAATATAAAAATTTCTACATTTATATGATATTTTGCACCAACATAATTATTCTTTATATTTGAAAATAATTTAAAATTTTCAATAATTATAATTTTTATAATAGTAAGTAATTTTGAAATAAAATGTTTCAAGAATTTTTTTACTTTCCATCTTTAATTAGATATGCGTTTTTTATTTAATTTTTTATTCCGAAATGAATTCGCGTTTAATTTTTTAGCAATATTTTTTTTTTATTTTATAATTAAATTTCATTCTTTTTTTTTTTTGAATAATAGTTTGAATATGTCCAAATTGTTTTTTTTTTTTAAATAAATAATATTTAACTTATTATAATTTTATATTTTTCAAGAAAGAAAAAGCTTAATAATTTTTTTTACTACTTTTAATGCTCAAAATTTTTTTAATTAATTTATTTAATTAAAATTTCATTTTTATACTTTTTTTTTTTGTTATCTTTCATCTCTTTCTATATTAAAAAATAATATCAATTTTTTATTTTATTAAATTTTTCTGTTTTTAAATTTAATTTTTTTTTTATGCCTAATTCTTAAAATTTCGTTTCCAAGTCTTTCATAATTGCATGTAAGTATATTAAATTTTGTTTACAAAAAAAAAAATAAGAAATTAAATAAAATTTATGTATGTATGCGTGTGTGCAAAATTACATTGTGACATGTTAATTTGTTTAACTCTCAGTTTTTGAATACATCAAAGAAATACTTGTTTAAAAATTTTATTATTTGTGGTCTATGAAAATATCATTAATAGTATTTTCTCTTTCCTGTTATAATAGTGAACAATTTCCTTTATTTTACTTAATAATTAATCAGGCAGTAAATATTAGGCAAGTAAGTAACTATTAACATAGGTTTACTAAAATATTAATTTTTCGGCAAGATGATATCAGGCATAACTAAATGTATCTGTAATTTGATTTAATCGATAAATATTAAATTATACTTAGTATTTTTTATATTTTACAAACGGGAATTATAGGACTGTATTTAAAGTAATAACATAATTATAAGGAATATTTGAGGAAAAATGAAAAATAAATAGGTTATAAAACCTGGTAAAATAATTAAAGGTCTTCTGCTATTTGAACAAATAACCAAATAAATATTGAAATTTCATAGAAATTTTTGAAAAAAAAAATTTAATTATTTTTGTGCCTTATTTGAATTCTTTCAAAAGTTTAAAAAAATTCAGAAAATTGTCGCAATTTTTTAATATTAAGTATAAAACATTTTATTTTATAAAAGCATAAAGTAAGAAAAGAAAAATTAATAAACCAATTCTACTCTATAAGAGCTACAATTATTTAATTTTGTTAAAGAAACATTCAATTTTTAAAGAAGCTGATTTGAAATTTTATAGAATAAATAAATAATTTAATAATTATTTTCGGACTAGTCACCCATATGACAATCAGTGTGGTCAGACTAGTGTAAAAAGACGGAATACTTGTTGCATTAAAAATTTTATTTTCAATTTAATATTTTTGGTTTTTGTTTTACACACACACACACACACATAATGTGTTTTTAAAAATAAATTCAAAATCCAAAATATATAAATTTTAAAACAAAAATAAAATTACTACATATTTTATTTTAATTTTCTTAATTTTTTTTTTAATATAATTTATATAAATATTATAATTTTATTTTGATATGGTTATTATTATTATCATCATTATCATTTTTATAATTTATTATTTTAAAAATTTCATTGCTACATTTTTTTCTTTTATCGTCATTAATTATTTTTTTCTTTTAATTTTTTCATATTACAAACATAATAATTGTTATATTTCCAAACTCATTTACCATCATAAAATTTACTTTAACTATAAATTTTAATTAATTTTCTCAT